GAGACCGCTGTTTTATGGTCTGCTTGTGGGAAGCCCCTGTATGGAGCACTTATGGGTGATCTCAGGTCCTCCCCTTTATCCAGGGAGGAATTTTGAGGCACTGATCTGTTTGTTGGCTACTCGTTCTGCTCTGCAAAAAGGCAAGCTGTCTTCAGTCCACCGTTGCTTCCCCGGAAGTCCCAATAATAGGACACTTCTCAACCTAAATGCATGTATTTTATTTTTGATTTTTACAGGTAGTTCTCGGGTTACGATGGTAATTGGGACTGGAATTTCCATTGCTAAACAATGCAGTTCTAAAGCGGAACATCGCATGACCACATCACTTAGGGACGGCAATCCTGGCAGTCCTGACCCAGGACCGTGCGAGTCGTTAAGTCAGGATCTGACGTGACCAGAATGTGGGAAGAGGCAGGAGCCCCAGGCAAGCAAGTCAGTGGGCGAGACCTGTGGGGAGGTCAGTATAATATAATTAAGAATCAGTTTGGTGCAGTGGTGAAGACAGCAGGCTAGAAACTGAGAGACTGTGAGTTTTTGTCCCGCCTTGGGCGCAAAGATAGCTGGGTGACTGTGGGCCAGTCCCTCTCTCTCAGCCCCAGGGAGGAGGCAATGGGAAACCACTTCAGCAAAACCTTACCAAGAAAACTGTAGGGACTAGACCAGGAATTGGACATCATTGAATGGAAAAAACCAAAATAATAATCAAGTTTAAAAGAAGCCAAGAGGGAGAAGGCCTTATCAAGAGGGAGAAGGCATGGCCATTACATGGGGAGGTCCATAGAGAAGGCATTTTTGCTGGGTGTCCTCTGAGCTTGGTTGACTGGAATTTGTACTGTTTGTGGCATATACACCACTTTTGCCCATTTAATAAATTTATTTCCAAAATACATGTTTTCCAAAATGTTAAGCAAAAAAAATCCAGTTCAAATTGTCAAATGCTTTGTCTGCATCAAGAAATATCAATGCCAGTACTTTTTCATTATGTTCTTCCAAATATTCTAGTATATTAAAAATACTGCCTATATTGTTGCACAACTCTCTTTTAGGTAGAAATCCTCACTGATCTTCAGGATAAAGTTCTGCAAAACACCTTTCATTCTTTCAGCTAAAACCATAGTAAATATTTTATAGCCATTGTTCAGTAAAGAAATTGACTGATAATTTTTGGTAAAGCAGGATCTTGTCTTTCTTTAAGAATTAAAGCAATACTTGCTCCTTTCCAATTTTCTGGATTGCATCCATTTTCCAAAATAGAATTCACCATTTTTTGCAAAGGTTTATCAGTTCATCTTCAGATCATTTATAAGAAGATGCAGGTAATCCAACTGGTCCTCATGAGGCAGAGTTTTGACACAGGTTCCGTGTAGGAAGATAGATCCTCCCTCCCTCTCAACCAATTTCCCATGGGGGGCAGTATTTATTTCTGTACAAATTTGGTCTTCAGGCTTTCAGACATCTCTCCTTGGCAAATAGGGATTTTTCAGAAGTTTTGTCCATGTATGCCCCCACTTTTAGGGAGAGAGTGTCAGGCAGGCATCATTGTACAGATAGAAGGAGGGCAGAAGGGTCTCTCCAGCCAAGGGAGCTTCCGAGAACGTGTAGAGCAGGGCTGCGGTCTGGGCATCAAAAAAGGTCACCTGTCTCCCTTCACAGTTGAGAGAGATTCGGATCCTCTTTGGATTCTTAGTCAGGGGCAGTTTCGGGTTTTCAGGGTAACCATTGGCCTGGTATGTCCCTCCCCATTTCCCAATCTCCCAAATCCCCTCCTCAGGACAAGGATGTATGTCATCCTTTCTGTTCACTGACTTTTTGACCACTCCTACATACCATCCCCCCTCATATCCTACAGTGACTTCCCAGAAATGTCTCCCTGTTGAGAACCCCTGACAGCCAAGGACGTATTGCCAATTTTCAAATCTCGTGGGGTTTTTAGGAAGGTACTGATATTCAGGAACTTCTATGACATTTTTAGAATCCTCAGAGAGGCGGAGGGCAGGATGGGCTGTGTCTGGATCCAGAATTACGTTTGCTGTAAGGGGGAAGAGGAGGAAGGAGAAGAAAAACAGCTTCAGCTGCAGGCCTGCTTTGAGTTGTGACTCCCAATAGATCAAACCTAAGGCCTCCTATCTGAAAGGACATCACCTTCCAAGGACCCCCTCCAGGACTGGAACACTCACCAATTTTTCACCAACACCTAAGCTTTGCCTAGTCCTTCCGACTCTTCCTGCTGCTTCACACCCTCCCAGCAATTTTGCCCCTCAGTCTCATTCGCTTCCA